ATATACATCCTATCAGACTTCAGAACAAGATATCTGGTTATCTCCTATGAACATAAAGACTACAAAGTCATTTAGAATATGCTACTTCATAAGACATATTTGAAAGTGTTTTTTGTTGTTATTTTTTGTTTTGTTTTGTCTTCTTAGAGATGTGATTGAGGTCTTATTTTCCAAAGCAGAATAAATTAAATCAAGGAGACTCAATTTAAGTCAGTCTAGAACTCTAGATTTCCATTAATTGTGTTATCAGCCCACCTTAAAAAAAGATTTATTAAGAGCACATAATTCTACTATAAATATGATGCTAAATCCAAGAACCAAGATACTAGATTTTAAGTGTATTATAAATACAGTTCTAAAACACAAAAATAGCTATTAGCATTAGTGTTTAATTTTCCTTTTATCTTGCCATATTAATTTATTAATAATTAAAGTACACATCATTTAAATAAAGCTTGAAATGATGGTGTATGCCTGTAATCCAAGCACTCTGGGAGGCAGGCGTATTACAAGTACAAGCCCAATGTGAGAAACTTAGTGATTTAAAAAGACCCTGTCTTAAAATTTTAAAAAGGGCTAAGGATGAGTAGTTCAGTATGAAGGCCCTGGGTTCAGTCTCCAGTACCACCACCAACACCAATAATAAGAATGTATATTATAAATGAAAACATTGGTTTTTTTACTCTCTATATAACTTTAACCTAGGAATATAGCTGGGACTTGTATAAATTACTTTATGAGTATAAATTCAATATTAAGGATTTTATGATGAAATACTAAAGCTAATAAGCTAAGTTGAAATATATATATGAATATATACACATATATGTGCTTTTTATTTGAAAATATGTTTTGTCTATCATTGCTGACTACAGTATTCTACAATGAGGACATCAATGATGACCTAACTTTAAAATATTTCATTTAAGAAATAGACTGCATTCATGAATCAGAAATACATGACATAATGAAATAAAACATTCATGTTTTATTTTGATGATTCTGAATGCTTATGAGTTTTACAGGAAAAGATTTAAATATGGAGATAGAACTCTAGGCCTACATAGAATTATATGACAATAATCTTTATTTATTCTTAGAACTATAGAGGAAAACTAATTACTGATTTATATATCAACCTTCTCACTTAGCTGGATGACTGTATTAGGAAATTTGATTTATATTGGAATGCACATTATAAAGCACAATGTCTGACTTTTAACAAGTAAATTTCTAAATGTTTATGAATGAATGAATACATATTCCCAAAGGAAAACAATATGTACCTATCATCACACATGCTACTTTTTGTTCCAAATAAGATTTAATGATCCTTAACTTTGATCTGATATTGTCTCTCCTAATGTCTTAGTGATTATAACTCACATTTTTAAAAGAGAAGCCCTCAGTGGATAATTAGCAGCAATCAAGAGAAATTTAAAAATGCCATAAAGGTAAAGTTTTTGTCAAGAATAATTGTAGAAAATAAGTCTTATGAGAAACACTGAGTCTCAGACATATATTGCAGAAAAGGAGTTTTTAAAACCATTTCCATGGAATATTTCTCTCAAGCTAATCCTTCTGGATCAGTTGCCTGAACTGAGTAGTTGGCAAGGTCTTTTCTGGAAACAACTGTCTACTTTAGGGGAACCGTCCTACCACCAAGCCTATCATACTCATAGGTAATGAGTTTCTCACATTTGAGTTTCTAAGTGTGTCAATGGAATCAGTCTTTACAGTCAGTCCTACTTTTTTCCTTTTCCTACCCAAATAGGCACAGTCCATGAAATGATAAGATTTCACATGGATAAGTAACATGCCCATTTTATTTTGGTTTTAAAAATATTATTTTTCATTGCTTTTGTAAAACTGAGGAGATTTTTAAACTAAGGTTTACAGTAGAGCCAAATCATTACCTAAGTGTTAAATGGTCCAGATTTTGTGATCTATATAGAAATTTAGAGGCATTAACAAAATTATCTAGGGAGTTTTAAAGTAATTAGAGCATGTTCCTAGTCTTTTCAATGAAGGCAAATCTTCTAAGTCTCCTAAATACAAAGTGAAGGTACAATATACTTAAGGGAAAGAAATTCAATAAAGACAACAATGCTAATACAAATAGATGTTTAAACTTGTTAGTGCAACTAAAAAGCTTTCCCTGAGGAATGATTTGTAGTATTCCTACTCTGAGTGATAGGATACCTAATTAAGAGAAGACTTGGACCTCAGAAATCTTCAGCTAGTAATATTTATTAGAAGTCTATACAATGGAAACACTGAAAAAGGTATAACAATAACTCTGCTATCATTTATTCTTTTTTTAATGTGGCTGTTTTGAGGAATACAATTCATATCATTAGTCTCTCTAGAATCTGGATCAAAGATTTTAGACATTATTTTCAACAAGATATTTCCATTTTGCAAGTATTTAGAAATGTGACATACATTCATTTAGTTTTATGTGAATTGAATAGAAAAATTCAAGCAAGTCTGTCCCAGACTAAATTTATTAGGACAGTATATTTTGTATGCCCTCCTCAAACACAAACACATAAATATAACTATGAGAGGCAAAAGATGTCTTCATAATGAATTATGATTGTGAAATCATATGATTATGTATATGTATATCAAATCATGTTCTACATTTTAACTGCATGCAATTTTTGTTTCAATTATTTATCCACAAAATAAAAACAATTACAAGCACAATGGCTAAATTATAAACTATCAAATCTATGGGTCAAATAAAAATATTGGGTAGCATCTTGGAGAAGGTAGTCATTTCATTACCCTTCTCTGTTTCTTAACCATGATAGAATTGTCTTAAAACTATTGTTGCTTTTATTAAAAATTAATGGATTTTTTTCTAATCTCAGTGTAATTGTAATTCAATGATGTGCTACCCAGGCAAGAAAATTTTGCTTACATAAAATTAAAGAATGCTTGCCCAATTAAAATTAGTTTTAAATGATATATATGAAATAATTGGCCTCTGTAAATTTAACCATATATAAAAACCACTAAAGTATATTTCCAATTATTAGTTCTAGCTACTGTAGCATCCACTGTAATTGTTCATTGAAATTTACAAAGTTTTATATACTATTATCAATTAAATCTCAAAAATTCCATTTTAAAAATGGCAACTAAAATTCAAAACAGGTATTGAGAGTCAAAACCAGGATTACTTGCTCAGGAATGACAGAGCCTACAGCAGAAAACTAGGCTTCTTCATATTTTTATATTCTCTTCCAGTGTGAATTGTTACCACACCTTCCTTCTAATTATCTGAATTTGTATTTCAGTATATTATTTTTCCTTTCTATTTTTATTTGTGAGTGAACACACAAATTTCTGAATTTATGAGATGCACACAGTTATCTTCACAATGTCGATAGACACCTAAAAGGATATGACTAATTCACATTTGCCTTTCCATCACTGGTTAGTTTTAAGTCTGAGTGGTCTCAACTTTTGGTTGAGTAGATATGAGTTATACAAAAACTGCCATAAAAGAATCTATCAATAGGGAAAGAAATAGATCCAAGCACCAAGAACACATTAGCCTAAAAGATCTTTGACTTTTTCCAGTAACTCTCAAAATAGTCATTCAAATAATTTAGATGTATTTTTAAGATTACCACCAATTGTCATGTATATATACTCACCTACCCTTACATATTAAAATAAACATAAGTTGACATAAATTGTGACACAAATATGAATTTTTATATATTGCAAGAAAATATTCCTCTAGTGATAAAGCCGAACAATAACAGAGAATTTTATAACTTTCAAAACTGAGATGGTACCTTAATTGGGCCCCTTGCCATCTCAGTGGGATTAATACAAATACCAGAAATTAAAGTCTAAACTGACCATTGATTTGCATTTTCATATACTGCAGAAAATCAGAAGTGGTAACATTAATCATCCACAGAAGAGGTCATTCCAAAGCCTGTGGAATGGCCAGTTTCATTTCCTGAGTAAATCCTGCCATAGGCACTGCTGACATTTAACCTCTTGGTTTGTCTCCCTCCAAAGTTAGAGAAAACCAGCCCAAACTATACAGAGAAGAAATTGTGAATACATTCATATAATTTGAAAATATTAAAATTTTATAGGGTTAGCATGGAACAGAGTTCTTAATATTTTAGTTCTAGAAATTGTTTCATCCTCATAGATTCTCAATGCAAAATAAATGATTTTTTTTCTTTGCAGTTTTTAGGTTACTACAAAGCCACTTAATCAAATTATGGCCTGGAACTATCTACCCATGTAACACTAAATTTTATCAATTTAATCCTTCTAGTATCTTGTGTGATATAAAATACTATACTGCACTGAGGGGAAAGGAGGATTATAATGACTACTTGTTTTTAACGTGACCTAAAAATTTTATGGGAAAGGTGAATCTTGAAAAACTTCAAATCTTTGTGAAACGTTAAAGTTTTATGTGAAAGAAAATTATCCTTGTAGTAGAATTATATTTCTATGACAAATTATAATTAATAAGAAACCATCTCACATAATTCTTACATTTGTAAGTTCAATATAAAATAATAAATACTTCATCCAGGTAAATATTCTAGCTTTATTATTTTCATGCAATTACAGAAACCATTTGTTTAGAAAGTTTTTAGGAAGGACAAATTACATGTTTACCTTCAGTTGTTCATATTAAATTTTAAAATGGCCATTTGGTTTGGTGAGATGATTTTCATCATAAAATCTAGTATTCATATTTAAAGAGAAACATTCACTACATAAGCATGCTGTGTAATCATTATCTTCAATAGTTTGCTTTCTTTTCCTCTCAAGTAATTAGATTCTTACTATCAGAATGTTGGATTTTGTTAAGTCTATCAAAATATTTGATTGTATTTATAGTCAAAATATTTTAACAGGATCAAATCTAAAGAAAATAATATCACTTACTTTGCTTTAGCTTCTGCATCCTCATATGCTTTATTAGAAACATCATCCAGGCCTCCAATCAAATGCTTGAAAGAACTGTCAGAGGAAAACACAGTGATTAGGATACATCTTCTACAGAGTAGTAACAATGGCAACCTAATCAAACATAAAGTGAAATAATTCAATGACACCTAAATAAAAATTAATCCAAACACTTAATCTAGATATTTTATTAAGAAATATACCAGATAGTGTTGTTTTCCCTAATCTAAACTTTGTGCTATCAGGAGCCTTTCTACCTAGTTCATCTCTATAGTTCTCAATAACTAGCCACATCTGGCAAACATGTCTGGCAATAAAAGATATTTACAAAACTGGGTGAGATAAAATCTATGAAACTCTGATACACAACACTTCTTTATAATGAGTCACTTTTATAATACTAAAATAATACAATGCACCAATTATTGAGTGTCCACTATATGTCAGGTATTATTAATTTAGTTAGTAATAATATTTATTAACTTCATCCTCAGACATTATTATTTCCACTTCAAAACAGTCAACGTTGGGGGAGGTGGAAGGAAAGCGATAAAAAGAATGGAAATGTGTTATGCACATGTACAAATTCCCTACAGTGAATGTAATCATTATGTACTTCACAGATGTACTAATAAAAGTAAAAAACAAAATTAAAAAGGCTCAAAAATGCTGAAAAAAGTAGTTAATGGATCTTCAAAGATGAAAATAAATATGCAGATAGGAAAACAATAGCCAAGAGTTATAGAAAAATCAACTTATTTGGGGGAGTAGAAATAAATTGACTTTAGCATAAAGAGAATGATTAACCGCTAAAATTCAATCTATTCTATGTCCTACTACATACCTGAAACTACATTCAGGTTTACTTTAAATAGTGATGACTTGTCTATACATTTATGCTATAAAATATTATAAAGAAAACAAAATGAACACACACACAAATGCATAATTGAATTGCCTGTGAAAATAATTGAATACAACGAGATACAGCAACTCTTAGGCACACAATATCCTGGCTACTACTAAACTAGACTGGATGAAGAAAGAAAAGGAATGTCGGTAACATCTGGCCCCTCACAAAATAACTATAGTAGTCTCACTTACATACAAGGATCGTTGAGTGTGCTTTATATATAATAACAAACACTGTACAATGATCCTATGAACTAGTTTTGTTTTTTTCATTTTATTAATGAGGATGTTAAAAAAGGTTAAGAAATCAGCCTAAAGTCATACAGTCGAAGGCTGAAAGAAGACCATTTCCCTTCCTACTCGTAAAATCTCCATTGTACCTCCTATCTAAACCATGACTTCAAGTTAATTGTGAAATTTCTAGCAATAGCTGGGATCTGGGCAGAGAACTTTAAAAGTAATGTAAGAAATTACATTTTAATGTTAAACTTCTCTCTCTCACTCGCTCTCCATATATATATACATATATATGTATATATATATGTATATATATGTATATATATACTTATATATGCATGAACCTACATCTATACTTCTTTTCTTTTCTTTTCATGGTACTGTAGATTGAACCCAGGACCTCTGGCATGCTGGGCAAGTGCTCTATGCTGAGCTACATCCCAAGCCCTTCTATAATTTTGATACATTAAAGGACTCTGTGTTGTGAGCATGAAGCCATAATCAATGCATAGTAAGATTTTGCAACATAGTAGCATATTTAGAGATTTAAATTTAAAAGTTAATCACTTTCACATATAATTATTTTGATAATTCTATGACGAAAATATAGAGTGGGGGCCAGCTGGATAGGCATGGGACAGTTATTAGCTCAACTGAAGGGTGGGGAACTAGAGACCAAGAATAAATCACTAGGCAGTCATCCAGGAAACCAAAAATTTTATTCCTAAATATGAATTTTCCTATAATAAATTATAAGAATCTATACCAAATTAATGAATGTCTCATAAAGAATAGAAAATGCTCCATACATTCAAAAATATTATCAATGATTAATATAATCCCCACATTTCATAAAAATGTTCAAATATGATTTATGACATTGTTCTTTATATAATAAATTTCCTTATTTCCTATAAAATGTTTTGCATTTCAGTTTAGAGAAAGTCTCTAAGGTCAGATATAGTCACAATGAAAAGTAAAACTACAAAATTTAATTTCTTATGAAAAATACATAATATTTTATTAATTTTCTGTTTCCATTGACAATATGAAAATTTAAGCTTATAGAATTTAAAATACTTGCCCAAGATTTCTGTAATTCATCAGCATGTCCAAGTGTATACTTTATATCCCTTAATATGTACCTTATCCTTTACAGTGCTTGGATACTTTTTAATATAACCAAATCCAAAACATTGTGAGAAACTATTGATGGAGAAATATCCAAGAATACTTTATAGGAAACCCAAGGATCAATAACTTAGCTCTCCATGTTCATTCAAATTTATAAAGAGATTGCACTCCTAGTGGAAATTCTGAAAGTTCAAATAATATTTTTAAAAATTCTACCTTATTCTTAGTATCTACTGTATTTAAGTAGAGCAGGGTAGTATATTACCAAAGACTTAGAGGGTAACCTGACAGTAAATTTGACAAGGATGAAGATTTTTTTAATTTAGGAAATTCCTGCTTGGCCTATTAATTTTTCAGTACTGGACAAAAAATAAAGTAAATTATATGTACTTGCAAAAGGATTCTCTTACTTGTGAAATCCCCATTAATTTTCGGTAAAATATAATAGATATTTTATTGTGAAAAAATTTAAAGATTAAATTTTTTTTAAAAAATCATCATTTATAGGTTATCTAACTACAAACAACTAAATGGAACATCTTTTACTTTTTTCTCTGCATAGATTCATTGTTGTTTGTAGAATTATAATCATAAAGTTGTTGTGATTTAATCTTCTCATTTCTAACCTAATGTTATAACATAAGTATTCATCTTTTTAAATCACTAAGCAGCATTTCATCACCTTTTAGCTATTTCAGTAGTTAACTGCATATACATATACCATAGAACATCTTCCCACCTACACACATATGTGAACACACACACACATACACACTCAGATGAAGGAAGAATATTCTAACTACATAAACAAACATCTACATTAGTACTCCAGATTATAGATTAAGCACATAAAATTTCTTTACAAAATAAATATACCCAGGATTATAATTTTGGCTTTTGGGATTGGGACCATATGTCCTCTGTAAACCATTTTTATTTAGAAAATAATCTTGGCCAAAAGAATGTAGTATTTTTTAAAACATTAAATACTTACATACAGACAACATGTTAAATTTCTTCAAACAATAGTTCAACCATTATACTTAAGTGTTTTCTAAAATGTAGAATTTTCAAGGAAATTACCAGGCTCCAAATGTCTAACACTGTCTTGTATCTCCACACTAGTCAATGAATAATTTAAGATATCTTGATAAGCATAATTTATGGTATTACAGAATTTATCATCCTTGATACAAATATGATGTAATCAGTGTTATATTTTTCCTTTTCACAGATAGTATGTAGAAATATGTGGCATTTGTGTGGGTTCTGATCAAACGGACATTTGAAAAAGTATTACTATAGGTATCAGACAGCTTTCCAAATATTTGCCCAGGTCTGATGACATTTTTCTGACAATAAAGGAGAAGATTTTTGTTGTCATTGTTCTTACTCTGAAAAAGATTGTTTTGACAGTCTTAGCAATGGAAAGAGTAGAAATCATAAAATAGCATTATCTGTCAAAACAAATATAGGTGACTAAAAATAAATTGCTAAATTCTTTTTAATCTCACAGTCATACACAATTCATACTTTGGCCTCATAAAATAAATTCACATATACTCCATACTTATTTTTTTTCTAAATGAGACATTATAAAGCAAAATACTATTTAGGTTATCTCAATAGCAAAACTTCACTACATTTGTACTATTGCACGGAAAGTTTCCTGATTTCCTGTTAACTTCTCTTGGGGTGGGATATTCAATTATAACAAGTCTATCGAATTTTTAAAGACAAATGGGTAACATGTTTTTAATTGAATATACAGATTTAGAAAGAGAATAGAAATTGCCTTTATGTTTAATGCTGACAGTTTAAACATATTTTCAAGATGGGAGAAAAAGAAAGGAAATAAAGGAAAGAAAGAGAGAAGGATAGATAGAAGGGAGATAGGAAGAAAAGGAAAAGAGGGAGAGAGGAAAGGAGAAGAAATTTTTACTCACATCAAGAGTGATAAAATTTATAAAGTTTTCCTTAAGAAACTCTAGTTAAAAGGCTGTTCCTCATCTCAGGAAATTCATGTTTTAGAACATTATAGTGACAGTAACTCAGTGGGTAATAATTTCAGTTATTAAGATATTTTCATTATTTAGCCAAAACATCTGTCTGAAGGGAGTTGATTACTCAGTGGTATGCCTAAAATGTGTATAATTTTGTTCTTCAGTTGTGATATGATGAGACTTCATCGAGAGAGAAATTACCAGAAAGGCCGTCCAAATACCAGAGATCACCATTACCCTGCTACTAAGGAATCACAGCATTTATGTTTTACTTTGTAACTTACAAGTATATTTATAGATTATATATTTATAAAATATAGATAAATGTATTAGTTCTCACGCCCTCCTGTTCTGACACAATATTTAGAAATGTTGTGTAAAAATTTTAAAATAGAATCTTTTCAAATCCAGAATAGAGTAGGAGAAAATCTCATGAATCATTCACAGCAGGTTTGTTCTCTTGATTACAACTCTTAAGTAAGATGATAATCTATTGTTACCAGTTAAATATTGCAAGATAAAAACAATGAAAGGAAAAATCTTAAAGAGAAACAATTTCAAATACTTCAACAGTTCTAAGCAAAATATCAAGCATTATCAGAACTTTGAGCAAACCCCTCATAAGTTGCCAGGCTAAAGCATTAAATTTTGTTAATCTGAATCTTGGCTAAATTTTTTTCCACAAAAAAAAATTTATTAAAAGAAAATAGTCAGAGATCTAAATTAATTGCGACATTTGTTACTTAGCTAAGTCCAAGGTTTTAGAAG